GTATAACGGAGTAATAAAAACACTAACGCGTCAGTAGCTTCACCGAAATTATCGGATATTATATCAAACCTGTAGTAGACATAGTCATAATGCCTTTGACTGCTAGCATGATATTTCATTAACTGCTTCATTTTCATTGCATCCATGAACAAGGTACAATAAAAAGTTTTTTTAAAGGTTTTTTTCAGTTTAATTTTCCTTGGTGTACAGTCTGTTCGCTTAGACATGGTCATTTTTGTGCCGCGCCACCACAACACGTGCCGCATTTTGTCAAAGGTGCGACATTCAAATTCGTACTGTAAAGCACCCGAAACGTCGGGTATCAAAAGTCAAAATTTAACGCGATAAAATCCGTAAAATTAGTTTCATTTAATGTGTAGTGTTCGCGTACATATAAAAAAATCATAATTGTAAACTTGTCGAATTTCTAAAATATTTTCAAGAAGAATAATATTGATGTCAAGTGTAATAATAAAACTATTTAATTTATTGATATAATTACAGCTATACATTACCTCCCACAAGTTCAAGGTTGGTGCAGCTGTATCGGCTAACCTTATTTTATTGATTAACTTGGGTTAATCCTATGCATATGATACTGTAGTAATATTTACTGATGACTCCTGGGATTCTGTTCGTAGATCTGCTGAAGAAGGCCTTGCTAGGATCGCTAAGTGGCTGAACACTAACCTACTTACATTAAATACTTTGAAAACTAGTTATATAATATGTTTTACAAACTATATTCGTACTCAGCCTAATATTACTTTCCAAATTAAACTTCACACAAGCTATGATCCCTTAAGTAATAGTTCATCATCATCATTCCTCATTATAGCCCTTCACAAGTCCACTGCTGAACATAGGCCTCCCCCAAGTAATGCCACAAAGCACGGTCCTGAGCCACCTGCATCCATCGACTTCCTCATATCTTACCAAGAATTTACCCGAAGAAGAAGAAGAAACTCCGAGCATAGCCCTCTCCATAGCTCGCTGAGCGACCTTGAGCGTCCTCATACGGCCAGCAGTGAAGGACCACGTCTCAGATCCGTAAGTCGTCACTGACAACACGCACTGGTTGTACAATCTAGTTTTCAGAGATTGAGGTATACCTGACGAGAAGATGTAACGTAATTTCCCGAACGCTGCCCAGCCGAGTTGAATCCGTCGATTGACCTCTCGGTCGAAGTTGGACTTACCTAGTCGGACTAGTTGTCCCAGGTAAACATATTCGTCAACAACTTCGAGGTTAGTGCTCCCAACAACCACTGGCATAGGTGTGACATGGACATTACACATGAATTTCGTTTTGTCCATGTTCATCTTAAGACCTATCCGTTGGGAGACACCATTGAGGTGATTGAGCATAGTGCTTAGGTCCTCCAGCAATTCTGCCATAAGGACTATATCGTCGGCAAATCGAAGGTGAGTGATGTACTCGCCATTGATGTTAATACCGTATCCTTTCCAGTCAATTAGCTTGAAAACGTCTTCCAATGCAGCGGTGAAGAGTTTCGGGGATATAACCTGTCTTACACGTCACCCTGTCTTACACGTCTCTGCAGTTGGATAGGTTTCGAACTCTGGTTCTGTACTCGGATAGCCATCGTAGCCCTACTGTACAAACACTTCAGCACTTCGATATACCGACAGTCAACTTGGCACCGCTGAAGGGACTGTAGCACCACCCAAATTTCGACGGAATCAAAGGCTTTCTCATAGTCTACATACGCCAGACAAAGTGGTAGATTGTACTCATCGGTCTTCTGTAAAACCTGCCGTAGGGTATGTATGTGGTCTATGGTATTGAAGCCTTTTCGGAAACCGGCTTGTTCAGGAGGCTAGAAGTCGTCAAGTCTGCGTGAACAGCACGTAGACGCGGCTCAGAATGGAAATCGGTCTGTAGTTCTTCAAGAGAGCGTTGTCGCCTTTCTTAAAGAACAAGACCACCGCACTTCTGCTACACGCCTCCGGAGTAGTGCCACCATGGAGAACGGAATTGCATCTAGAAGTTGAAAAGCTTCTGAAGGACTTTAAATACCGGTGTTCCACCCGCTTTCAGAAGCTCCGCTGTAATTCCATCCTCGCCTGGGGCCCTGCCGTTTTTAAGGTGTTGGAGAGCCATTCTAATCCCGCTCAGACTGACGTCCGGGATATCATCGGAATAGTACTAGTTGCAAGCTGGTACTATTCCGATAGTATAGATAGTAGTAGCAAGTACTAGTTGCAGCTGTTCATTAATTAGCAACCATCATTTGTCATGACATAGACACATTGAATTGATCATGAGTAGACTTAGGAACAATTAATAGGATTGAAATTTACATTGACATTTAAAACACTAAGACGAAAAAGTTACTTTACCAAATATAATATGATATATTGGTTTGGCTCAATTTATCTTAGTATATTGTATTCCTGTATGGGTGGAGCTACAAAAACCAAATTTCTAGAAGTTGGAAGGGCACACATAAATTTACTAAAAATTATGCATTATAAACCAAAAAGGTTCCCTACATAAGACCTTTATGCCATAAGTAACTCACAGTTAGGAAAACGTATATCTTATATTCAGTTCTTGTAGCCATAATAAGGAAAAACGTAGTGGCTACAGCTGTCGCTGTTAAAACTGTTTTAGCTAGGAGGCAATATGTAAAACAGCGACTCTATACAACGTTATTAATAAAAGCATAAAAATTCATCACCTTAACTACAATAATTGCAAATATGTTCTTTAACTGAATGGCTATTTTATAAGAGCTATGATGATAATGAGGGTCTTTTAAGCAATATGAAATAATGTAATTTAATTATAACATATACACAATATATACACGCGCGCACACTAATACACGCGCGCGTAACATTATTACTTTTTTTATACGTAGCCCAATAAAATAGGATTATTTCATTTACGAAAGAAATATCAGCTACTTACCCAATTTTCCTTCCTAAAAAAAAAATATTATTTTTTTGATTATTTTTAATAGTAAATTATTATATAAAGATCATGCAAATAGTAATGTAAGTGCTATGGAAGAGTGGAGTCTCCTAACACAAGTTTTCATACTTAAAAGGAGACCTCATTCCCGGTTATAATTTATGTATGGTCATTTAGCGAATAAACTATTTTTATTTATTATTGTTATTAAACCAATAATAGAAAAAATTACTACTTTTTGTAATACTTTATTATAAAATCTAAACAAAGAATAAAAACCTGTTCGGCAGACAAACCCGAGTGGGATAATTAACTTATTGATAGCTAAAGTTGTGGCGTACATCACTATATTGCAGCACATTCGGTTACAATTATACCAGTTTAATTTTACAAAAATTGCATATTTTGCCTAGATCGGACCATAAAAATAATTACAAAAGACCATAATTAAAAAAGCTGAAGGTACTCCGGATTTAACAATGACATTGGGACGTCAGTCACCTCAGTTCCCCGTAACCATGGGTGCTGGAAAGCACCCAAAACGTCGGAATTAAAAATAAAAATAATTAAAAATAACGCGATAAAATCCGTAAAAGTAGTTTAAATCATAATGCTGTGTTAATTCCTACTTTAATGTATGTTAGTGAAAGTTGTGTGGCAGAAGAAGCACGAAAGTAGAATAAATGCTGCAGAAATGCGGTCTTTAAAGAGTATGCTAAGGCTGGATCTGAATGACAGGGTGAGGAATTGCGTGATAAGAGAAAAATGTGGTGTGCAACATGATGTTGTGACAAGGATTAAGAAAGGAATGCTTCGGTGGTTTGGTCATGTAGAAAAAATAAACCAGGGAAGAGTGACCAAGCAAATTTATATTGCAGATGTGAACGGCAGAGTCGGGAAGGGACGTCCTAGAAGAAGGTTCATCGCCCAAATTGGCGATATTTTGAAAATGGGCCATATTAGGAGTACCCTTAACCGTTGAGCGTGTATGCGTAGATATATAGAAGTAAAGGAGGCGAGAGAGGTATGTCAGGATCGTGCCAAATGAAAGTCCGTAGTCTCTGCCTACCCCTCTCGGTGATAGGCGTGAGTGTTTATGTTTTATGATTGTATCAACTATTTACATACACTATTTATATACACTTCGTATCCATATTTTATTTACATTTAAAAACATTATTTAGGCAATTTTTGTAGCAGACAACCGTGTCCCTTAATCTCATAAACAATGGGTGCGTTTGGCAGAAAAAAGCGCTAGCAAGCGCTTGTAAGCAAAATGGCGATCGTAAGCGGTAAGCTCTGTCAAATCGTAATTAGCTATTTTCCTCTAGGACACGAAGTTAGTTTTAACCGGGGGAACCTAACCTAATTTAAATATATGTTTGTAAAGTATACATATTAAAAACTTACCAATCATGAATTTTTAATAACATGTATAATACGTTTATTCTTGTCATTATATTACTTACAACTAATATTGCACAAAATAACTTATAGAGTTCTACTTCAAAACAAACAAATTAAATAAGCAAAATGGCGGATTGTGTCAGCGCTACTGAAGCGCTACTGACTGTCCTGGCCGAAAACTGTTTAATTTCGCCATTTTGCTTACAATCGCTTGCTAGCGCTTTTTTCTGCCAAATGCACCCATAGAGTATACAACTAACCAACGTCTAATACTAAATTAGGTCGCGCGCGATAAATAGCGTGCTGCTAGATATATTTGCGTCACACGTCCACTCCCTAACGCGTGCACGCGGCAGCTGCTGCTAGATATTCATAGCGCCAAGCGCCATAGCGCCATGGCGGCTACTTACATAACACGCTATAGAAAGATAGCGATGCTATAACATCATGGAGAATAGCATAAGCAATGTAGTGGGGACTCACGCATGCTGGGAAGATGTTGATGGCGTCGACAGCGGGCTGGTCGGTCTGATTTATAGCTGAAGACCAGGTCGATCCAGAGCGTCAGGCGCTCGGTGACGAACGGCACCTCCAGCGCCTGGCGGTACGCCAGCGTGAACAGAATAGCGTAAGCAATGTAGTGGAGACTCACGCATGCTGGGAAGACGTTGATGGCGTCAACAGCGGGCTGGCCGGTCTGCTTGTAGCCGAAGACCAGGTCGATCCAAAGCGGCAGGCGCTCGGTGACGAGCGGCGCTTCCAGAGCCTGGCGGTGCGCCAGCGTGAACATACGAGCATCAACTGCCCAGGGCGCAAGCTCCACGCTGTCTACGCGCGCGCCGCACTGCCGCACGCCCAGCTCCAGACCTGCCCACCATCAGCCCACCGGCCCACCGTTACCGTAAACATAGTCCTCCCCTTTAATTTTTAACAATTACCAGGAAGCCGCTGCTGCCCATCTCTTGATTTGTTTCCCTCTGTCGCCTCTGACGACATCCACGGGATGATATGGGGTAGTGGATATTCCTACACCGCCACTGCACGGCCCACAATGGGTATCCCGTTTATCCACCCTAGGGTGTTTTATTTGTTATTCGGAATTCACTTTTATTTGTTATTCTGACTTTTTACACCAAGTAAATACAGTTCAAGAAATACTCCTTGATTATTAACTAATTTTCAAAAACCACAAACATAAACAAAAAATCATATAACGTATTGCCGTTACCGTCACAGCCTATCAAAGTCCACGCATTACGTATTGCATTTAAAATTCATACATAAAATGCATTCAAATTAAACTTTTGGTTTCAAATAATGTCATTACGTCCTCTTCCCTTCCGGACCGCATACAGAGTGCTCGTGTACACAAGATCCGATTTATTTTAATTTTATTTAGTCAAATAATTAAATTTAAAGTGGTTTAAGGGCGCGGTGCGATACTAGGAGTGCATAATCTGAGAAGTGTCCGAAAGTATTGTGTCGTATTGTTCTAGTCCCGCACATTGTGTAGCAAACATCAAAAGTGTCGTAGCGTGCTACGAGACGGCTCCTAGGTACTGCTACGAAGCTACGCACGATTCATACTACTTTATCTGAGTTCTGCGCGCCTAGTACCCGTCAATCAACAATGTCTCTCAGGCGCACGCCTCCCAAGACCTCCGCCTCCGCAACGCAACGGGCCCGCTCCGCGTTGTAGCCCCCCGTCGGCCCCGCTACCGCTACGATGAATTCCCCGGTGTTCATTCAGACAAGCGGCGAATCCAACGCCGTTGCGGCCCATAGTACAGATCAATTTCGTGACTCACCGTCGCAACTTACACGTACGGCTCTGTCACTTAATGATTTAGCGTGCGACGATATTGTAACGAAACGCGTTAAGCGTAAATTTGACTTAGAGGGCGGCAGCCAAGAATTTTCTCAGTCCACTACATCTTTTATAGAAGATTTATTTTCGCCCTTCTCTACTAAAATTGAAAATCGCTTTGCAGCACTGCATGTTTCAGTAAATCAAATCGCCGATCAAAACTGTGACATGCAAAAAAAGTCTGAGTTTTATGAATGAAAAGTATGACCACTTATTAGAAAAATTAAAAACGATGGAGGAAGAACGTTTAAACGACAAAAAAACAATTCAGACTTTGGAGGACAAAATTGAGCTTTTGGAAAAGAGATCACGAGCTACAGCTGTAGAAATACGAAACACGCCAAGAATTTATCAGCAGAATAATAGACCAGAGTCCAAAACTGATTTATGCGATATTGTCAAGATCTTGGCGAAGGCAGTGAACTGCAGTCTTCAAGAATCAGATATAAGGGATGTTTATCGCATACTCTCCAAACATGAAACGTCTCGTCCTATTATTTTGGACTTAAACAGCGTCATAAAAAAAGAAGCCCTATTAAATGCTATAAAAGAATTTAATCGTAATAAGGGAAAAGGAGAAAAGCTTAATACAAGTCACCTAAATTTACCGGGTACTAGTAAGCCAATATATGTTTCTGAGGCATTAACACACAAAACGCAGAAATTATTTTTTGTTGCCCGCGAATTTGCCAAGGAATATAATTTCACGTACTGTTGGACCTCCAGGGGCGTTATCTATCTGCGTAAGGACGAGAAACAACCTTATGTACGGGTGGACCAAGAGAAGGAACTTCAGAGTCTCAAAAACTCAATATCTAAGTAACTATAATAAACTACTATATGATGCATGCTTCTTACAAAAACTGTTAAAATTTTATATCTTTTATTATACGGGTGATAACACATCCCATATTGTTTTTTTGGACTTGTATGAAAATTGTATTAATTTTGCAATGGTGCAGGTACAAAATTTATTAAAAAGTTATTTTTATATTGTACATATGGAATTTAAGGAATATATCTGTCAAGGGCTTAATTTACTTAATTACGATGAGCGCTGTTTTAGATTGATACCAAGACGTGAATGTAATAATGAGGAAGCCATTTCGATTAACTGTGATTTAATTAGGGACCTTTATTTATTAATGCTTGAGTCACTTTTATCATATTTAACTAACTTCTGTAGTCACACATTATATCTCAATATCGAAGAGGTATACAAAGATTACGGTTCATTATATTGCTTTTATGCGTTTTCGACGAATTAGCAGTTTTTGGTGATCTTGACTCCATTGAGGTATCTAGAGCAGTTTCAATAGACGTTGACTCTTGCCAATCACATGTGCCTCAAACTGAAAATTACCTTAAAATTATAACTCAAAATATACAAAGTATAGGTTGTAATTTTGATAATTTTGCTTTGCTTTTGGAAAGAACCAAAATTGTTTGCGACATAATTATACTTACCGAATGCTGGCTATTATGTAACCCAAATATCCCTACTTTAGACAATTATATTGGATATACTAACAAAAAATGTTTTAACCAAAATGATGGTGTCGCAGTTTATGTAAGAAATAGTCTCGGTGTCACGGTTGAGGAACCTTATTTTACGGGCGCAAGCTGTTTAGTAATTAAAAAAAGGAGTAGATCTCGCAATCATTGCCATATATCGTTCCCCTTCAAGAAATAATAGCCCAGATTCATTTATCATCTCTTTGGAACAAGTCTTAGAATCGGTGGTATTGTTTAAAAATGTCGTCATCATGGGAGACATAAATTTCGACATCTCAACGAGTAATATGGATACACATACAGAAAAATATCTTAATTTGACGGCATTTTATGGTCTTATGCCAGCACATTATTTGATTACTAGACCTGTTAGCAAAACTTGTATCGATCACGTATTATTAAAAACTAAAAAGCCCGCTCTAACGTTGATCATCCAGTCTGATATTACCGACCACAGCTCTGTTTTACTTTGTCTTAATTTTGATCCCACTTCTCAACCAAAAACTAACAGCTACTCTAAATTAAATCACTCTAACCTCAATAAGGATATGATAAACACAGATTTCAGTTTTATTTATGATATTGATGATCCTGACGTCGCCGTAAATCGGTTAATTGAGATAATCACTAAACTACATAACAAAAACACTGATATTTGTATATACGCCAACCGAATTAGGATTATCAAACCTTGGATGACATCAGGCTTACTTCGATGTGTTAGAAATAGAGATAACCTTTTTAAGAAAGCCAAAAAACACCCAAACAACAACACCATACAAATAACTTACAAAAGGTATAAGTGTTTTTGTAATAACTTACTTAAAAATATTAAAAGAAAGTATGAAAGTGAATTAATTTTAGGTGCTGGTAATAACAAAAGGAAGCTCTGGAATGTTCTAAAAAATATAACCTATACTAATAAACCTAAATCATCGGCTGACGAACTGTTGCAGTCTTATGCAACAGCTGACTTAGCCGTTGATAGTGTAAATAATTACTTTGTTAACATTGGAAAACATTTAGCTGAAAAAACCGCAGATACTGATCATTTAACCGACTCAAGCGACATGTCGACTTCTAGTAATTCTTTCGTTATGTTGAATACTGATGAATCTGAAATTGAATCACTTATCATGAATCTCAAAAACAATTGCTCCACTGGGTGGGATAATATTTCAAATGTTTTTCTAAAAAATAATAAAAATATACTTGTACCGATATTAACGCATATTTTTAATAGGTGCTTGGAAGATAGTGTATTTCCCGAAGCTTTTAAAAAATCTATTATAATCCCTATACACAAAGGGGGGGGACAGAGATCAAGTTACTAACTATAGACCTATAGCTTTACTCCCGGCTATGTCCAAATTATTAGAAAAAATAATAAATAAACGCCTTATCAACTATTTAGAGACGAACAATCTACTCGCTAAAAACCAATATGGCTTTAGATCTGGCAAAAACACAGATGGTGCTATGCATGACGTAATTAAGTTTATATCAGAAAATTTGGATAAAGGCAGACGATGTTTAGCGATCTTTCTAGATTTAGCGAAAGCTTTTGATACGGTCTCTGTGCCTATCTTGCTGGAAAAGCTTAAAAGGCTTGGTGTACGTGGAAAGCAGTTAAATTTATTTAAGAGTTACATGAAAAATAGATTGCAAAGTGTTAAAATTAGTAATCACAGGAGTTCAGATTTACCAGTGACCTACGGTGTACCTCAGGGCAGTACACTGGGGCCCACCTTATTCACAATTTATGTTAATGATCTCTGTCAAATGAAGCTCATCTCTGGAAAGACTATTTGCTATGCAGATGATACTGTGCTACTTTTTGCAGAGGGTGATTGGAAAAAAACTTTTGAAGCTGCCCAAAATTCATTTAATACTGTACAAAGGTGGTTGTGCTCTAATAAATTAACTTTAAATGCGGAGAAAACCAAATATCTGACCTTTTCCATTCGTGATGTGACGCAACCAGGAAACGATTTCTCTCTACGTGCACATAGCTGTATTTTAAAAAAATCCTAGCTCTCTCACTTCCTGCCGATGTCCGTTATTGGAAAGAGTTGAGATTGTCAGGTATTTGGGTATCCTTCTAGACAAAAATCTATCTTTTGAACACCATATTCAACATTTAAAAAATCGTATCCGCAAACTTATATATGTTTTTAAAAATCTAAGACATGTAGTGCAACCATATCTTTTGAAACAGCTGTATCTTGCTCTGTGTGAATCTTTGTTAACTTATTGCATTTCTTGTTGGGGTGGGGCTCTAAAAACGCACATGGTTTCTTTAGAAAGGGCTTAAAGAGCGCTTTTAAAGGTCTCCACTTTTAAACCATTTCAATATCCTACAATATTACTCTACAATAACTGCCAAGTACTAACTGTTCGCCAACTATTTGTTCTAAATGTTATAAAAAAACAGCATCAGTGTATAAATTATGACCCTGACAAAATCAAATGTAAACGTCGTAAAGACATTGTGATTAAGTCCAGTTTTAAGCCCAACACAAAATTTATAAAAAAATATTTTTGCTTTCTTGGCCCATATTTATATAATAAAGTAAACAAAATTGTTCATATATACTCTATGAATAAGCATGACTGCAACATTGCCCTCAGAAAATGGCTTCAACTAAAGTCTTATGAAGAAACGGAGAATTTGTTAACAGTACTTGCATAAGTGTTCATAGATGTCAATTCGTTACTTCTCTGCTAAATTTTTTTTTCATCTGTGCATGTCTTTTAAATTCTAAGGATCTATTTTTTTGTTGTGTCACTTGTATTATTTCATTATATTTTGTGTATCTTATTTAAGGTTTTATGTAAGTGGGAAGAGCTTTGCTTAACCTAAAACACAGGGTTTACCCTAACTTAGGAAGCAAGTTCATTTTTAAGAACATATTTAGTATATAAGATGCATTGTTTGACTCCTACTCTGTATCACTTTCTATCTGAATAAATTATTATTATTATTATTAAATTATTATTACTTTATGAATTTTGAAATATACCCAGGAAATTACTAACACTAATTTAGTTAAAAAACATATACTATTCAAAAAAGATCACTACCCTTAATAGTAGAATCATTTTATAGTGACATTAAATAATATGAAGATATTATAAGTACTACAAATTTGGTCTTCCGAATTTTGGGCCCAATATAATAACTTCCAATGAGGAAGTTAATAATGTGGTCTCAAGAACAACAAAACCTTCGAGTAATAACAATAGCAGCTCACTGCTGCTGTGTTACGTATGGTGAGTGCAGAGAGCCGGACACCCTCTCGAGGCATTCCATCTTAGTCCTCACGGATGATATCGCATCAGCGTTTTGATATTTAATCGAGGATAGATGTAGATATGGACCACAGTATTTATTTACTTACCATCAGGTGAACTGTGTGATCGTCTGTCACCTCTATTGTATTAAAAAAATCAATTCTCCAACTCCAAATTGTCCTGTGCCGTTCACTTTACCACTTCCATCAGTTTACCATCGTGTACCTTCATTGTTGTAAAACAGCTCAGGCAGATAGAAAAGCTCCGGGATGAGTTCCTTGACGTCCGTGGGCGAATCGTTGGTGATAAGGCGCCACGTGGTCGCCATCGAGTGGAACGTGCGGTCTGGCATGTCGAAGTTGTTGTCTGTAAACAAACACACACATTCAGGACTAGGAAATATTTATTTCTCTCTTGTAGTGTGACTAACTCACGGTATCCAATTATGTAACACGTATTATAAATTTAAGACAGTAGTACACAGGACTTGGAACAGAAAGGTTGTCTTCTTTAAGAACATCATTACACTTTCTCGCTCTCTTTCTAGCTCCCTCTCTAGCAGCTTTTCAATGCACTGCTTGATTAAAACCCTTTCACTTTGACAAAAATATCACAAATTGACGCATAACTTTTAGAACGTCAAAATATTACTACTGTCAATTTGTAAATTATGTACTTCTTTGCATTAATGCATTATACTCATTGAAGAAATATCACTAATACAGAATACGTTCCGATTTGGAGTAACACCAGGTAGTGCAGCACGCCACCCGAGTTGGAGTACAGCGAGCCATAGTGGTGCGGCTGCCACTGCCACACACGTGCTCACCTTGGTAGTTGAGGAAGAGCTCAGTGAAGAGCGGCACTCGCACCAGGTAGTGCAGCACGCCACCCGAGTTGGAGTACAGCGAGCCATAGTGGTGCGGCTGCCACTGCCACACACGTGCTCACCTTGGTAGTTGAGGAAGAGCTCAGTGAAGAGCGGCACTCGCACCAGGTAGTGCAGCACGCCACCCGAGTTGGAGTACAGCGAGCCATAGTGGTGCGGCTGCCACTGCCACACACGTGCTCACCTTGGTAGTTGAGGAAGAGCTCAGTGAAGAGCGGCACTCGCACCAGGTAGTGCAGCACGCCACCCGAGTTGGAGTACAGCGAGCCATAGTGGTGCGGCTGCCACTGCCACACACGTGCTCACCTTGGTAGTTGAGGAAGAGCTCAGTGAAGAGCGGCACTCGCACCAGGTAGTGCAGCACGCCACCCGAGTTGGAGTACAGCGAGCCATAGTGGTGCGGCTGCCACTGCCACACACGTGCTCACCTTGGTAGTTGAGGAAGAGCTCAGTGAAGAGCGGCACTCGCACCAGGTAGTGCAGCACGCCACCCGAGTTGGAGTACAGCGAGCCATAGTGGTGCGGCTGCCACTGCCACACACGTGCTCACCTTGGTAGTTGAGGAAGAGCTCAGTGAAGGGCGGCACTCGCACCAGGTAGTGCAGCACGCCACCCGAGTTGGAGTACAGCGAGCCATAGTGGTGCGGCTGCCACTGCCACACACGTGCTCACCTTGGTAGTTGAGGAAGAGCTCAGTGAAGAGCGGCACTCGCACCAGGTAGTGCAGCACGCCACCCGAGTTGGAGTACAGCGAGCCATAGTGGTGCGGCTGCCACTGCCACACACGTGCTCACCTTGGTAGTTGAGGAAGAGCTCAGTGAAGAGCGGCACTCGCACCAGGTAGTGCAGCACGCCACCCGAGTTGGAGTACAGCGAGCCATAGTGGTGCGGCTGCCACTGCCACACACGTGCTCACCTTGGTAGTTGAGGAAGAGCTCAGTGAAGAGCGGCACTCGCACCAGGTAGTGCAGCACGCCACCCGAGTTGGAGTACAGCGAGCCATAGTGGTGCGGCTGCCACTGCCACACACGTGCTCACCTTGGTAGTTGAGGAAGAGCTCAGTGAAGAGCGGCACTCGCACCAGGTAGTGCAGCACGCCACCCGAGTTGGAGTACAGCGAGCCATAGTGGTGCGGCTGCCACTGCCACACACGTGCTCACCTTGGTAGTTGAGGAAGAGCTCAGTGAAGAGCGGCACTCGCACCAGGTAGTGCAGCACGCCACCCGAGTTGGAGTACAGCGAGCCATAGTGGTGCGGCTGCCACTGCCACACACGTGCTCACCTTGGTAGTTGAGGAAGAGCTCAGTGAAGAGCGGCACTCGCACCAGGTAGTGCAGCACGCCACCCGAGTTGGAGTACAGCGAGCCATAGTGGTGCGGCTGCCACTGCCACACACGTGCTCACCTTGGTAGTTGAGGAAGAGCTCAGTGAAGAGCGGCACTCGCACCAGGTAGTGCAGCACGCCACCAGAGTTGGAGTACAGCGAGCCATAGTGGTGCGGCTGCCACTGCCACACACGTGCTCACCTTGGTAGTTGAGGAAGAGCTCAGTGAAAGGCGGCACTCGCACCAGGTAGTGCAGCACGCCACCCGAGTTGGAGTACAGCGAGCCATAGTGGTGCGGCTGCCACTGCCACACACGTGCTCACCTTGGTAGTTGAGGAAGAGCTCAGTGAAAGGCGGCACTCGCACCAGGTAGTGCAGCACGCCACCCGAGTTGGAGTACAGCGAGCCATAGTGGTGCGGCTGCCACTGCCACACACGTGCTCACCTTGGTAGTTGAGGAAGAGCTCAGTGAAGAGCGGCACTCGCACCAGGTAGTGCAGCACGCCACCCGAGTTGGAGTACAGCGAGCCATAGTGGTGCGGCTGCCACTGCCACACACGTGCTCACCTTGGTAGTTGAGGAAGAGCTCAGTGAAGAGCGGAACTCGCACCAGGTAGTGCAGCACGCCACCCGAGTTGGAGTACAGCGAGCCATAGTGGTGCGGCTGCCACTGCCACACACGTGCTCCCCTTGGTAGTTGAGGAAGAGCTCAGTGAAAGGCGGCACTCGCACCAGGTAGTGCAGCACGCCACCCGAGTTGGAGTACAGCGAGCCATAGTGGTACGGCTGCCACTGCCACACACGTGCTCACCTTGGTAGTTGAGGAAGAGCTCAGTGAAGGGCGGCACTCGCACCAGGTAGTGCAGCACGCCACCCGAGTTGGAGTACAGCGAGCCATAGTGGTGCGGCTGCCACTGCCACACACGTGCTCACCTTGGTAGTTGAGGAAGAGCTCAGTGAAGGGCGGCACTCGCACCAGGTAGTGCAGCACGCCACCCGAGTTGGAGTACAGCGAGCCATAGTGGTGCGGCTGCCACTGCCACACACGTGCTCACCTTGGTAGTTGAGGAAGAGCTCAGTGAAGGGCGGCACTCGCACCAGGTAGTGCAGTACGCCACCCGAGTTGGAGTACAGCGAGGCGTAGTGGTGCGGCTGCCGCGACAGCAACGGGCTGCAGCCTTCGCGCCGGGCCGCTTTAAGGTCCTGTCAGACCACGGAATATACAATGTTGTCAAAGGAAATGCCAAGAGCATAAGACTATTCTATGACCATTTCGATACGTTTTTAATATATACAAAATTGTCTAAGCGTGTTTTGCGACAGGGACACATTTAACATGGGGTTCCGCTTTGGAAATCGAATAGCCTATTTGTAATATTGAAGATTTTTAATGTTATTTACGCAAACTATTCATAATTTTTTTTAGAAAAACTATTTCAATTATTAATGGTATAATAATATTAAGTTAAAAAGCGTAAAGCAGTGTGCTTCTTCGGCTCGCAGGACCAATGCTGAATGTCTTTAAATGGTAATACATTATCTAGAATTGTAGCTTGGAACTTAACAATAACAACAAATATTGTACGTTGTTACGAAGTTAACAAAGAGTCTTAATAAATATTAATACTTGAAATATTTTTAAATATTAAAAATTAAACCGATGTTAAGTGCGGTTAGTTTTGAGTACCTAGTAATTTAATTCACTATCTAGTGTAAGCAGGCCTCTGCCAAATAAATGCTTGCAATCGGGCGGAACCTCAGGTAGCATAATACGAAATATGGGCTAGCGCAGTTTAGGCGAGCGACGTACTAGTGAATTGCAAAGTTTTTTAACACTGTTTTGAAAATATATTTTTTGTACATATTTATATAAATAATTTTGTTTAGTGTTTAGTATATTTAGTCATATCATAAAATCATATACATTTACAGAAAATACATTCAGTAATAATTTTAAAATTAAAAATTTAAAAAAAAATTAAAAATGTTTTATTTCAGTAAATCATTTTACAGTTATTTGCCGAGGCCTCCCAGAAAGTAATCATAAGATACTTGTGTTGGGAGAGTCTCGCTCTTCCTACGTAATCGTATCAACTTAGATTTACATCAAAAAAAAAATATATAAACATTTTAAACTTAACCTGTTAGCTCTCGCGAGGCCCACATGTGCTCAAGAAATAAACACCTTACGCTCGCTCGATCGAGGTACACATGTGGGCGACAAGTACTACCCTTTGAAAAAGAATTTTTTTAATTAAAACAAAACCAAAGACACTATGCAATAGATAATAGTATCAAAGACAAAGATATGCTCTTTTATTTTAAACCATAACCTGGCAATGTTTCTTAGAAAAAAAAAAAGAAATCACTCTCAACTTTCGGCGTTCCACGTGTCGCTTTGATGAAGGTGCTCCGTCTTTTTTATAGAATTTTATATTTGTGTCTGGACTAAAAACGAAAGTATTATACTTTTTTATATTCCTTGTAATATAGTAAACACGTAGATATATAATTTGTGGTATAAAAAGTGAAAAGTAAATTGCCAAAAGTACTTCGAAATACGGAACGCCCATTTTGGCGGTTGGGTCATAAATGTGTTATTTTTCAAATTCTCATTTATTTTTAGTGTAAAATGTAAGTAAAAATAGTTTTCTTACATATTTCAAATAACTTGACGTTGTATTTATTTCAAATTCACACAAAAATATTTTTTGAAATATTGTTCGAAATGTCATACAGATAAATATTATTATTATTTTTTTAATTTTTTTATATTTTAATATTTTGGTATGAGTAACGAATAGAAACACATAAAACATAAAAATATACATATTTCCAAACATTTTCATATAAATTTCTCCAAAAACAAAAGTGTAGAATTCAAATTAGTAGTAATTTTGGCACTAAAAGTGAAGTATATACTACTACTTATGCTATAAAGGGTAATTTATGAATTTTATTATAATTTCTAGCAACCAAAATAATTTTATTCAATAGTTTATACATTCAACAAGAATTCCTGTAAGTTTTATCCATAAATATTGTCTCAAAGTGAAAATATAGCAAAATTTGCAATATAGCAAAAAAGTGTGTGCGTGTGTGCGTGTGTGCGTGCGTGCGTGTGTGCGTGTGTGCGTGTGTGTGCGTGCGTGCGTGCGTGTGTGCGTGCGTGCGTGCGTGCGTGTGTGCGTGTGTGCGTGTGTGCGTGTGTGCGTGTGTGCGCGCGTGCGCGCGTGCGCGTGCGCGTGCGCGTGCGCGTGCGCGTGCGCGTGCGTTTTATGATATCTTAGTATCATGTGTAAAATATAAAGTTTTCTAACGGAGAGCAGCTTAGATGTTTGGTATAGGGTTTCGGTGGAAAACCTATAGGGCCTCCAGTACATTACCTTAATCAAGGGTCTTTGCGCCCTTTCTAAATCTATAAAGTATGATTTAGCTGCTCCTCCCCATACGGTAATATCTACTGCATATGCAGTAGATTATTACAGACTGGGCTAGTGCGATATATATTTTATTCAGTAGCTTGGTACTCATCACGTTTCTCAGAGATTTGAAAACCCACATGAGCTTCCTTACCCTTCCAATTGTTAGTTCTAGGTGTGGATACCAACTTAATCTTTTACCCACAATGATTCCGAGGTATTTAACACAACTAACTTTCTGAATTACTGGGCAATTACATGTGTTAGGGAAAGGTGTACCACAGGAATGAATTTTGATTTCAAAATTAGGTGACGGCTGCGAATTAATATATGGAGCGAAGCATACATAATTCGTTTTTTGAGTGTTAAGAGTAAGGAAATTCTCACTTAACCAGTGCCTAACTCTGCCTAGTCCCATCTCAGCCCCCATCCTAATTTTATCCCAGGTCTTAGCGGTGAAAATAATAGCGGTATCGTCCGCATAGGACAGTATCCTCCCTCCAACGTTACCAAGGTTACAGAGATTATTAATATATATCAAAAAGAGGGTTGGGCCGAGAACACTACCCTGCGGTACACCATACGTTACATTTTCTTCTTCACTTATTAGTTTGTTTATTTTTACACCCTGCTTTCTGTTTTGAAGGTAGCTGCTGAGAAGGGAGAGGGCAGATTCACGAAATCCGATACTTTCTAGCCTACGTATAAGAATGGGGACAGAAACGGTATCAAAGGCCTTCTTGAGGTCAAGAAAGGTCACTAAACATTTGTTACCTTTGTCTACTTCTTTTGTTATAACGGATGTAAGATCTATGATAGCATCCTGTGTCGACATTCCCTTCCTAAAACCATATTGAGAAGTAGATAGGATGTTATACTTGGTCAAGTAGCTTACTATTCTAGAGTTCAAGAGCTTCTCAATGATTTCAGAAATGGAGGCCAACACAGAGATAGGTCGATAGTTGTTTACGTCGTCCCTATCTCCACTCTTATTCACAGGGGTCACGATGGAGCGCTTAAGAAGGTATGGGAAGTTTCCTGTGCGAAAACACAGGTTGGCAAGGTCGGTAATCAAAGGGACAAGGATGTCCTTACTTCGTTTTAGAAAAAAAGTAGGGATTCCGTCCCAACCTGGTGCACTCCCAGAGTCCAAGGACATTAAGGTATTTTCCACTTCCTTGCAAGATGTATCTAGTAAAACAAAAGAGGAATGATGATGGTTATCAGAGTTAGTAGTTTCCGAAGTTGAGAAGCTATTTGAGATATTCTCAGCTAGTGTTTGCCCAATGTTGACAAAGAATTTGTTTACATGGTTGATTAAGGTTTGCGGACAAGATTTTATATTAAGTAGGTCGTCATTTGGGCTCTTGGGTGGCTTATAGTGGGTGATTTCATTAATGGTTAACCAGAGAGCTCGAGGGTTTTGTACCGATGCTTTAATTTTTTCTTTATTATATTTTATTTTTAGTTTTTTTATAAGATTTCCACAAAAAGTACGATAACGTCTATATGTTATAATTAACATTTGATTTTGGGGGGTTCAATTTAAGTTTTAGGTAAATATTATTTCTCAGTCTAATACACCGCAAAGCACCTGTGGTTATCCAGGGTTTTATGATTCTTTTGCTATTCGAGACAATTACGTTTTTATATTGGATAGGATAGCTGACCTGACCATTTCTATTAGCGCAAAGGCGTAAGTATCAGGGTCTTTAAAAATATTAAAGAAGGAGACATCAATATTTGTTAAACTCTTGTAAGCATTATTATAGTCAACTACAGTTTTATGTCTTAGGAGACTCATTTGCTGATTCTGATTTGCAATTGCTAAAAGAACCGGGCAATGGTCTGTTGTAGTTGTATTTAGTACCGCAGTGAAGGTTGTGTTGTATTTTTTGTCAAGTCTCAATAAAACGTGGTCAAGACAGCCACCTCTCTCGTAGGTAAATTATGAGACGAGAAAATTCCATGCAAAGATATCATATTTAAATAATTTAATCTGTTGGATCTTTCTGGATTAGTTTCAGTTGGAGAAATAATTAAATCAATGTTAATGTCACCTAAAATTAAAATATTTTTACAAGGGTTTATATTTTCAAGGTGATTACTGAGAGATATGATGAAATTCCCTGCATTTAAAAATCATAACAATGATAAAATCAGCCAATAACTACTAAATAATTAGCAAATTTTAAGTTATCAAGTTTTATGCAAATAAAATATTATTATTATTATAAAATTATTAATGAATATTAATTTTATCACTCCGTGTCAATATTACTCCCCCCCCCCCAGTATTTAATCAAGATTTAGTTTTTTCCATTCTTAAATTAAATAACCGTTAGTTTAGAGACGGTAAAAAAATATGACATTATATTACTCTAACACTTTGTAAATTAAATAATCAATAGGTACATACTACAAACGTACTTTATTTTTTACTCTTTATTGAAAAAATATGAAGAGGGGAAGTAACAAAGCCTTACGGAAACGCGCGCAGCGAAAACGTTTAATTCAACTTACGTGCGTGATTTATGTAATTAATAATAAAAATAATTATGTAGGCAATTAAAACGTCCGCAAGTAGTCAGCATCAAAAGTACGTAGTACTATTATTTACTCTGTTGTGTAAGTTGTACTATCTTGTGCTGTTGCTTGACTTAACAACAATAACAAATATTGTACGTTGTTACAAAGTTCACAATGAGTCCTAACAAACATTCCGCCTCCAGGTCCTGTAAAAGAGTCATTGCTAAGGCAAAGTCAGAGCACATAGGTAGAATTGGCGAGAAGCTAGTTCGCCTTCAACTCGACTCTCGATGACGGGGGGAGTACGCCGCCAACCATACCGCTCCAGTGAGTAGCTCCGCAGAGTGCTCCACGCCGAAGGTGCAGTTCACACAGCACTCGGTTCACAAAGCACTCCTCTCCCCGGACATCCACAAGTCGAGTAGGCCTGACGGTATCCGCCCGATTGTGTTGAGGACGTGTGCTCCAGAGTTGGCACCGACGTTAACGCGTCTTTTCCGGTACTCCTACTCTCTAGGCGTAGTCCCAAAATCATGGAAGACGGCTTTCGTCCACCCCATCCCTAAAAAAGGCGACCGCTCAAACCCGTCCAGCTACAGGCCCATCGCCATCACCTCCTTGTTATCCAAAACAATAGAATCCATTGTAAACTGCCAGCTCATGAGGTACCTTGAGAATCACCAACTGATTGGTGATCGCCTATACGGTTTTCGTCGTGGTCGATTAGCTTGTGATCTGTTAGTCTACCTGACTCATAGATGGGCGGCGGCAGTAAAGTCCAAGAGGGAGGCATTGGCCGTTAGTTTGGACATTGCGAAGGCCTTTGATTGGGTTTGGCACAAAGCGCTTCTTTCGAAGCTATCTTCCTATGGACTTCCCGAGAAATTGTGCAATTGGATCACCAGTTTTCTTGCAGATCAGAGCATCAAGGTCGTTGTAGACGGTGCAAGCTCCGATTACAAGCCTATTAATACTGGTATTCCACAAGGCTACGTGCTATCACCAACGCTGTTTCTTCTCCATATCAATGATAAAATATCATTGCAAACCGGCAACATTCATTGCTACGCAGATGACAGTACTGGTGATGCTCCAAAATTTCTCGGGAAAAAGTCTCCGAGTATCGGTACAAACTTGTGTCTGAAGTCGAGTCTTTGCTGAACAAAGTCTCGGATTGAGGGCGACTAAATCTAGTCCAGTTTAACCCTCAGAAGACACAAGTATGCGCGTTAACCGCTAAAAAGAACCCCTTTGTCTTATGTCCTCAGTTTCAAGGCACTCTCCTTGTTGCCTCAGCCAGTATCGGAATCCTCGGCGTCGACATATCGAGTGACGTGCAGTTTCGTGGTCACTTGGAAGAAAGAGTGGGACAGTATTTCATACCGGCTCACCGCCTGCAACTTTACAAGGCGCAGGTTTAGCCGCACATGGAATACTGTTCCCATCTCTGGGCTGAAGCTCCCCAGTACCAGCTCCTTCCACTTGACCGCATCCAGTGCAGAGCGGCTCGAATCGTCGACGACCGAGTGCTTTCTACTATGTAAAGTGCAGTTATAGTTTTCAGTACTTAGTAATTTAATTTATATAGTACAATAATATACAATATTTATTATAAAAAAACTGACACTAAAATTATCATAGAGTCCTATTCTCCGCGGTATATTGATAAGAACGCTGGCTGCGTTTCCTCGCTGACCGGCTGTACTAGACCTATGTGTGAGAAAAGAACCAGCTCTCTCATCACAAGTAGCGTCAACAACTTACGTTATAAGTATTTATATAATGTTGCTCTCTATTCTTGTTTTGTACGGCCATGGGTTTGCTGAGGTCTCGAAACGAAGTGGGGTCATTCAGGTCAAGGATTTTGGAGGTATAGTCGGCGATGATGAAGGGAAACACGGGGTACTGCATCAGATCGTTGTAAGACCGTCCAGCGAGCCCGTTTAGCGCCATCAGGTATTCCCAGTTGGTGATGGTGCCGTTCCGCCATTGGTTCATCACTTCTGATAAGCTTTCTGGCTCTGTTCTGTAATAAATGTACATATTACATAGGATCGACACGTGTTCCTTTCACTTATATTTTTAATGTACTATATGAACAAAGTTGTTTTCTATCTCACACTTCTTTGTGGTATTGTCTACCATCAGCCATTTTTACAGACCGATACTATTGAGGGATCTTCAAGAAAAGAGTATCCTCTTTTATAAAAGACGGGCAACGCACCTGCAATACATCTGTATTGCAGGTGCGTTGTAGTTCTTTATCCGATCACTTACCATCAGGTAAGCCGCAAACGCGTTAGCTCTTTCTTATATAACATGTAATAAAACCCTGAGGTTCCCGTTAAGTGCATCATCGGAATCAGTATTCCAGCGTTTAGTCTTTAAATATCTTTATTTCAGAAATTTCGTCCATAAAAAAAATTAAATAAATTTTTGTTTGTAAATTGCACCTGGCTTCATGATCTCTAACAGACTTATGCATCGGTAAAGCGGGACCTTTGACAACACTTTTACATCCAAGCCAATACAGAGGTAATAAATTCACATAAAATCTGCAAATAAAAAGTTATTTAAATAAGATATAAAAAATAACGCTAGTTTTGTGAAGTTATTTCTATACGTTTGAATACTGATTCCGATAACGGTTTAAATAGCAACAGAATCATAGGGTTTTTGTTACATTTTATTTAGAAAACCGATTGAGTTCGACCAACGGCATCATCAGAGTTTATAAGCACCTGGTCCAGTGGTTACGTACGTGGTGCAGTGCGTGCATGGTGCAATGCGTGCATGGTGCAGTGCGTGTGTGGTGCAGTGCGTAAGTGTTGCAGTGAGTACGTGTTGCAAGTGCGTGCGTGGTGCTGTGCGTGCGTGGTGCAGTGCGTACGTGGTGTAGTGAGTACGTGTTGCAGTGCGTATGTGTTGCAGTGCGTACGTGGTGCAGTGAGTACGTGGTGCAGTGAGTATGTGGTGCAGTGAGTACGTGATGCAAGTGCGTACGAAGTGCAAGTACATACGTGGTGCAGTGCAAGCGTGGTATAATGCGTACGTGGTGCAAGTGCGTACGTGGTGCAAGTGCGTGCGTGGTGCAGTGCGTGCGTGGTGCAGTGCGTGAGTGGTGCAGTGCATGCGTGGTGCAGTGCGTGCGTGTTGCAGTGCGTACGTGGTGCAGTGAGTATGTGGTGCAGCGAGTACGTGGTGCAAGTGCGTACGTAGTGCAAGTGCATACGTGATGCAGTGCGTGCGTTTTGCAAGTGCGTAAGTGGTGCAAGTGCGTGCGTGGTGCAGTGCGTGAGTTGTGCAGTACGTGCGTGGTGCAGTGCGTGCGTGTTGCAGTGCGTGCTTAGTGCAGTGCGTGCCTGGTGCAGTGCATGCGTGGTGCAGTGCGTGCGTGGTGCAGTGCGTACGTGCTGCAGTGAACACGAGGTGCAGTGAATATGTGGTGCAAGTGCGAACGTGGTGCAGTGCGTACGTGGTGTAGTGAGTACGTGGTGCAGTAAGTAAGTGGTGCAGTGTGTACGTGGTGTAGTGAGTACGTGGTGCAGTAAGTACGTGGTGCAGCAACTACGTGGTGCAGTGAGTACGCGGTGCAAGTGCGTGCGTGGTGCAGTGCGTGCGTGGTGCAGTGCGTGCGTGGTGCAGTGTGTGCGTGTTGCAATGCGTGCCTGGTGCAGTGCATGCGTGGTACAGTGCGTGCATGGTGCAGTGCGTACGTGTTGCAGTACGTACATGTTGCAGTAAGTACGTGGTGCTGTAAGTACGTGGTGCAAGTGCGTACGTGATGCAGTGAGTGCTAGGTGCAGTGCGTACGTGGTGCAAATGCGTACGTGGTGCAAGTGCGTGCGTGGTGCAGTGCGTGCGTGGGGCAGTGCGTACGTGGTGCAGTGAGTACGCGGTGCAGTGCGTACGTGTTGCAGTACGTACATGGTGCAGTAAGTACGTGGTGCAGTAAGTACGTGGTGCAAGTGCGTACGTGATGCAGTACGTGCTAGGTGTAGTGCGTACCTCGTGCAGTAAGTACGTGGTGCAAATGCGTACGTGGTGCAAGTGCGTGCGTAGTGCAGTGCGTGCGTGGGGCAGTGCGTACGTGGTACAGTGAGTACGCGGTGCAAGTGCGTGCGTGGTGCAGTGCGTAAGTGGTGCAGTGCGTGCGTGGTGCAGTGTGTGCGTGTTGCAATGCGTGCCTGGTGCAGTGCATGCCTGGTACAGTGCGTGCGTGGTACAGTGCGTACGTGATGTAGTGCGTACGTGGTGCAAGTGCGTGCGTGGCGCAGTGCGTGCGTGGGGCAGTGCGTACGTGGTGCAGTGCGCACGTGTTGCAGTGAGTACGTGTTTTTTTATATAGAATAAGGGTGACAATGAGCACAAAGTCAACCTGATGGTAAGTGTGACCTGTGGCCCATAGACATCTAAATTTATTCTCGATTAAGAATCAAAACGCAGATGCATTGTCACCCCTGAGGACTAAGATGGAATGCCTCGATTCCAGTAAAAAAGGGTCTCCGGATCTCTTCACTCAGCATACGAAACACAGCAGCTTTGATCTGCTATTTACCGCTGGTATTCTGCGAGAGCGTGGTCCTTCCCTGGTCGAGCCGACCCATTCGTGCTACAACCATAATATATAGCTGCAGCGTGGCTCCACCACGTAAAAAAGTGGTACGTGGTACAAGTGCGTGCGTGGTGCAGTGCGTAAGTGGTGCAGTGCGTACGTGGTGCAGTGCGTAAGTGGTGCAAGTGCGTACGTGAAGCAGTGCGTGCGTGGTGCAGTGCGTACGTAATGCAAGTGCGTGCATAATACAGGTCGTGCGTGGTGTAGTGCGTACGTGGTGCTGTGCGTGCATAAAACAGTGCGTGCGTGGTGTAGTGCGTACGTGGTGCTGTGCGTACGTAGTGCAATTGCGTGTGTGATTCAATGCGTACGTGGTGCAATGTGTACGTGTTGCAGTGCGTACGTGGTGCAGTGCGTACGTGGTGCAGTGCTTGTGTGGTGCAGTGCATGTGTGGCGCAGTGCATGTGTGGTGTAAGTGTGTGCGTGGTGCCAGTGCGTACATGGTGCAGTACGTACCTGTTGGGCAGGTGTGCAGCGTTGAGCGCGTGCAGGAAGGCGTCCCGCTCGGGCGTGTCAGTGAAGGCCAGCAGGTGCGCGTGTCCGGACAACAGGAACAGCTCAGCGGCGCGCTCCTGCAGGCACCAGCGCCGCGCGCACACGCGTGCCACGCTGCCCAGCGCCCACGACTGCGCCTCGCACCCCTCCGCCCCGCCTATCACGCCCGTGCCACCTCCCGCACCCTCACCCTCCTCTTCGCTGCACTCCGGCACAAAGTGGATGCACCTGGCACGCATCATATATTTTTATATTATTCATTTTCAAAAAACCTTACTTCCACTAGGTTTTATCTTATTTTTGTTATTTTCCTTTTTACTTATTACAAAATTATATATATTTTTATTTTTATTTTATTTTTTTTTTATTTTATTTATTAAGGAACAGCAAACAGCTACAAAATACAGTAATATCTAAAATACAATAACATGATGTATTCACAATAATGTAGCCCACAACGCTATCCACATATTAATTACAATGTTAATTAAATTGTCGCGGACGCTGAATAAAAACTTTATAACTAAAAACTAAAAAACAAAGAGCCAAAATAATATTATTTTACATTTTTAGTTTTTCAAATATAGATCTTTTAAAAGCAAGAATATTCGGTGTAAACAAATCTATGTTACCATCGTTGAAAAACTCGTTAAAAGAATGCATCATACGGCGAACTGGCGCGCGCGAGCTGGTATTTGTACGACATGTACTGACGGCGAACAAGTTACGAGCGCGCACAGCACGTATATGAGCACTTCTAGGAACTACGAAATTTAAATTGGAAACTAACTCGTACTGCTAAATTTGTTGTTTACTATTTTATACAATGTTATAGCTTCAAGATATTTACGTCTACATTCAAGCGACAAAACACCAAACTCTCTCAGCAATGGGATACGAGACAAGTAAGATTTATGGCATCTATAGTACATGGCACGCAAAAACTTATTTTGGACTTTCTCAATAGCTTCTTTGTATACTTTATAGTAGGGATTCCATATAGGTACAGCATATTCAAGCTGGGAACGAACAAGAGTTTTATAGAGGTATAAGTATGTGGTAGTTCGTTTAAAGTCAGTAGAAGATCTCATAACAAATCCGTACATTTTAAAAGCTTGTTTGACTATCTTATCAATATGGATGCTTAGTTGTAGCTTAGAGTCCAACTGAATCCCCAAATCCCTTACGTCTGTCACTTTGGCCAAGGACTTTTTACAGAGGATGTAATTAAAACAGACAATATTTTTCTTTTTTGTAAAGTTTATATAGTGACATTTTGGAATGCTCAATTGTAATTTATTAATGTTGCAATATGTTGTCAATCTGTCAAGATCGCTTTGGAAAGATATACAGTCTTCTATATTTTTAATAGTTTTGTAGGCTTTCAGGTCGTCGCCATATAATAGGAAATTGGAGTTAAGAAAACATTTATCTATATCATTAACAAAAATAATAAATAACAATGGTCCAAGAATGGATCCTTGAGGAACGCCCGATGTAACCAAAACGTTCCTTGACTGATATCCATTTACTACAACTTTTTGGGAACAGTTTTGAATATAAGATGCAAACCAGCGCAGCAAATTACCACGAATACCATTGAATGCAATCTTGTTAAGAAGAATCTCATGATCCACCTTGTCGAAAGCTTTCTTAAAATCTGTATATACAGCATCTACTTGAAAGCCGTCATCAACTCTTGCAAATAAATTATTCGTAAAGGTAAGTAGATTACTAGTAGTAGATCTATGTTTAACGAAACCATGTTGTTCTTCAATGATAGCCCTGTGTAGAATCGGGTAAATTTGGTTGTGGACTAATTTTTCGAGGACCTTCGACAAGACGGAGAGAATAGAGATGGGGCGATAATGTTCAACATCATGTTTTGACCCACTTTTATGAACTGGAGTTATATTTGCATGTTTCCACCTCGTAGGAAAAACACCCTCTGACAAACACTTATTATAGATAATGTGCAAAGGCTTATAAATATTTTCAGCAGTTTGTTTGAAAAAGAGTGGAGGAAGGCCATCTGGACCAGGACCCTTGGAAGTGTCTAAACTTTTGAGTTCATTTAGAATTTCAGTTTCAGTGAAGTAAATATCAGAAATTAAAATATCGTGACTTGAGGTACAAGATGGAGGCTGCCAATGCGAAAGAGAAGGGGGAGAGGGTTCAAACACTGATTGAAAGAAGTCAGAGAACATATTACATACCGTCTCGGGGTCGCTGGATTTAAAGTTATGGTAATGCAAAGTGGACGGAATTTTAGTCTCAGTTTTGCGACTCGATACATAGGTCCAAAAATGTTTTATATTTTTAGTTATATTTTCCTCTACAGTGTCCATATACCTACGATAGCATTGTTTGCATTGGATCTTAAATGTATTTCTGTATTGGGAAAATTGTACGTAGTCACTTGGGTTTCTATATTTCTTCCACTTAGTCCAGGCTTTTCGTTTACATTTAAATGTTTTAATCAAAGGACGTGAAAACCAGACAGGAAATCCTCCGGGGCGAGAACTAGAACGTGGTGCATTTGTTTTATGATGTCATCTATGCTCATATAAAAGGTTTCAATGCAGGCTTCAGATGGAAGCGTTTGCAGTAGTTCCGTCCAATTTGTTTTTTCAAGCTTGGAATTAATGAGGTCAAAATCTGCTTTACGGAAGTTATACTTGGTTAGAGGGCGCCTTTTCATTGGTTTATATGTCTGATGCATATCAGTAATCGCAATGAAAGGTTGGATGATGGGAATCAGGAGGAAGTAGTGGATCCATTGGGGCTCTAATAGTAGATGAGGTGTTAGAGATGTAAAGGTCCAGTAGTTTATCATTAAAATTAAAGATTCCATTATATTGCGATGCATTTAGAAATGCCATAAAATTCAACAATAGGGAATGTGTATAGGTGGATCCAGATCCATTCAACGGTAAAGGTTGGTTACAATAATCAGAAGTGGCGGATGATGATGGAACCCATGTCATATCAGGAATATTATAATCACCAATCACATAAAAGCTATCAATAACAGGATCATTAATGCAATCAAGTAACAGGTCAAAATGTTTTTCATATGTATCCGGGGAGCTGCGAGGCGGAATATACGCTGCACTAATTACATGTTTCCTAACTTGGCTTGTACTAGGAATTTCTACCAGTAAACATTCAAGATGCTTAGAGTGCAGAGATTTATCCGGGTTTGAGGTGTTAAATATAGCAGGTTTCAGTCCACGCAGCACCGCCACCAGAACACCACCACCATCCTGTTTGTCGGTAGCTAAGCGGTCTCTGTCACATCTGTAAACCACGTACCTCTGATCTATAAATTCGCAGTTGCCAATGTCCGGAAGCAGCCAGGTCTCAGTGAGTACAATGACATCATAATTATTAGATAAGATATTCATGTAAAGTGTGTTTAATTTGGTCCTTATACCTCTACAATTTTGATAATAAATAATAAGATGATTTGTTTGAGTCGTGTTATTCATTTAAAAAAAAGAGCATTGTATTATGTTCGTTTTGCTAAGATAGTGTTGAGTGTGAACACGAGCTATTTTTAGCATAAATTTGTGCCTTATTGTACAGTAGAAAGCCAGATTGTAATGGTTAGTATCTGATGAGAATAAGATTTGTGTTTTAACTTTAAAATTGAAAAATAGTGATAAATTTTCCTGATTGCTAAGACAGACGTGTAAGTCGCTCATTTGTTCTTTTAAGCTAGCATTGAGAAAGCTGCAGTTAGTGCAGAAGAGTAAATCAATCAAATACATGAAAAGGTAGTAAAACGTTATAGATATAATTACGACTAGACTTATCGAATTAGTACAATCACTTCTTTTTAGTGATTCGAAGTTTTTTGAGGTCGTCTTCTCCTCGGATGACCAGTACTGGACTGTCGTCTTTCTCTCTAACAAGAATGGCTGAGTTTTTGATCCAGCAATACTTGTAATGAAGTTCCTTTGCAACCTCCCGACATTTACGAAATAACAGTTTCTTCTGTAGTATAAGGTGTTCATTCAAATATATGGTGGTAGATTGGCCCTGAATGCCGAGCTGATCAGACCTCAGTGATTTTGCTTTACGATATGCTGCAATTATATTGTCCCTCTGTATACGTGTGTTGAATTTAGCAAAGATGTTTTTAGGTCTATCATTTGTGCTGTGTGCGTGAGGAACCCGATGTATCGACACAATGTCTGCCTTTGAAATGGGGAAGCGGATCGCTGTTCCAATGGCTTCGATGATACCTATAAGGTTTTCATTTCTACGCTCCGGTACGTTACAGATTTCAATATTTGTCTGTCTGGCTTGTTGTTCCAGGGAGTCGATGCTGTACTGTAGTCCTGCAGTTGCTGATGTGGTCTGTTCACCAGCAACACGTGCGATTTCATCAACTCTATGTTTCAAAGTACCATGTTCGTCAGATTGAAATTGAATGGAGTTTTGAAGGGACGATAATTCTATGTTTATATTAGAAACATTTTGTCTCAGGGTGGCATGCTCCTCTCGTAGAGACTTAATTTCAGATTGGATGTCACTTAAGGTATTTTTAATTTCTTCCCTAATACTAATAAAGTTAGAGTTCATATCATTCTTAATTTCGTCTCTAATACTCATTATGTTAGAATTCATGTCGTTACGCCACAAATTGATAGTATTAAGCAGTTCATTAAATTTCTCAATGGAGACCGAATCTGATGGTATGTGCGTCTCACTTTTGTTCAGAATTTCGCACGGTAGGTCCATAGACTGTTCCGTAGATGGTACCTGATTGTGACGTACAGGTGTGCTTAAGTTAGTTTTTATACGTCTTGTTACATTCACACATGCAGGGCAGGTCCAAGAGGAACGAAATTCCTTCGAAAGCGTTACAAACTGCTCCTTGTTTATATTTAGGCATTCATAGTGATAGTTGATATCACAAGTGTGGCAATGTAAGGAACAATCTGTGTTCAGTAATAGACGACAACCCCCGCAGATCATTTTGCACTTTTTTGACTTCTTTCGGGTTACAAAATAATAATTTAAAAAAAATGTTTATATTTTCCTTCTCCCAAAAGAGACAAAAATAAAAGTTTAATTATAAAAAAGAAAAAAATAATTAATTAAAAAAAAAAAATAACTTGTGGCGCCAGGTTTCGAACTATGTATTCCAGATCGCCAGTGTTTAAGTCGTCCGTAACTCCGCCACCGCTAGGCTAGCCGATGTCCTGACTAAGCGACGA